TATATATATATATATATATATATATATATATATATATATGCTGTAAAATTAATTTTTAAATATTGCTTAAATATCAAATATAGTTTTTTAACATGTATATAACATATGTAAGGTCAATCTTTTGAACAGAGTGTGAAACTAAAAGAATCTGTTAATGACATTGCATCCTTTTCAACAACATTTACTTGATATTTAGAAAGTTCCTTGTTTTAGGATATATTTGATTGGATCTTGAAAGAAAAAGTCATGGAAGTCGTAGTGTTGACATACATTCAAAATCACTCTGTACCTTTTTGGTTGTTTGTCTACATGAGAAAATACACAGTCAATAATATTCATTGTTATAAGGGCCAACAAAACAGCATATACAATTGATGCAAGGGAACAAGCACCGGCTTCCGCTATTGAGACCATGTTCACCAACAACCCTAGCAAAACCGCATCTACTATTGGTAAGGCTGTAAAGTACTAGTAAAACAATATGGGTATACATGCCGTGTAACCTTGCGTGATAGCTTGTGACACTTCAAAATGTGGCAAAAACTTTTTTCTCTCTCTCTCTTTCTTAAGTTGTGCTCAAGCACGGACTTCAGTTTTTCAGCAGCAGGTGAGTCGACGCTGGTGTGTCTCTGCATGCCATGCCATAAGATTAGAAAAAAAATTCGATGACTATGCAGGCGCAGAATTATGCTATTTTTCAAAAAAACTATTTACTGTTTTTATTGTTATTATTTACAAGGGATTTGGAGACTGCGTAGATCTTAAAGGGATAATAACTCTTCGTCTGAGATCTATATATCACAATAAAAACATTGTGAACAACTCATAGAAATATTATATATTCTGTTTTACCACAAAAACGGCAGTTATAGTTAGTATTCTGATATCTGAGCTTGTCCTAGACCACGTGACCTCCATTGATGGCTATACTCTTACTCTTAAGAGATTATAAAAATAATTTTAGAAAAAAAAAAAAACAGGGACTAATTTTGAATGTAAAAATGGATTCATTAACCATTGGTTAAGTATGGAAAAATTGTTGTTTACTCCAGGAAAATTCATTTTTTTGCCAAAACGATGAGTTAATATCCCTTTAACTGAAGGTAAGATCAGGGATGGGAGCATTTATTACGATGATGTTCTTGACATAATTATTTTCTTAATAGGAGGACTTGCCATTGGTGTGCCAGGAGAAATAAGAGGCTACTGGTTGGCCCACCAACGTTTTGGTAAACTACCGTGGAGGGAGCTGTTCGTGCCTTCCATAAAAATGTGTAGATCAGGGATAAAAGTCGGGAATTCCCTGGAAAATGCCTTAAGAGTTCGAAAAAGGGAAGTCCTAACTGACACTAGTCTCAGGTCTGTATTGCATATTTCGTTTAGGAATATAAATCAAAATACAAAGTTAGGGTCGACCTGCATTACTGCGTATGAATTACTTGAGGAATGTAAGATATCTCCCCTTTCCATGGGGATTAACAATCGCAACAGTGTATATTCAGTTTACCAACAATTAATGTCATTGAATGTGTAGACCTGGACTTTGTCAAATTCTTTCTGAGCTTTCTGAGCTTTAGTCGATATCACATCTTGAGGTCTGCAAAACTAAGACCCAATATAAACATTTACACTTGGTCTTGGTGCAAAACAGATTGGCCAGGACCAATAAGAAGTTTGGCATCTATTTCATAGTTTTGCGGTATTTTGCAGCGAAGTGTTCGCCCCAAATGGAAACTTATTAAAAGCAGGGGAAACGATGTACAGGTTCAAGTTAGCGGATACGCTGGAGAAAATTGCCAATGCGACTGATGGAGGATCGGAATTTTACGACTCTGAACTGACTCAAGACATCGTTGATGAGATCCAGGCGAAAGGTAAACTCTCTTTGCTCATTCAATCAATCATATCCACTGCAGTCGACCGTCAACACCATTAATTTAACATAAATAGATTTCCAATCCCTTCTATGTTTGTAAGGCTGATATACCGTTACATGCCGTACATGTCTTATGAAAAGTCGACATCAAAATAGGCCATGGGTAATAAATTCAAATGTTGCATTTTAAATCTGAGTGTGAATAGCGATTATATTTTAAATGTAGAAATGTATTAGGCTGCTGGAGAGTAATTGGTTTGGGTGCATCTTGACATTAGGTGGCATCATAACAAGACAGGACATGCGCGATTACAAAGCAAAAGAAAAGAAACCCCTGGTCCTTGAAATGCAAAACGGAATGAAAGTGTTCTCACCTCGACCTCCATCTGGTGGCGCTGTTTATCAGTTTATACTTAACATTCTCCAAGGTAAGTAGACTGTAGGCTCATAGGTTTTTGCCTTTTTTGGAAATATATTATTTAGGTTTTGATTTTAATGCCTTGTATTGTTTAGGCTAAAGAATAAGAGTTGGGTAACTTCTCTGGCTAAAGAGGCTATTTCGCGTGCAGGATGGTGAAGTTGGTGGCCTGCTGATCAAATATAGGTGTGTTTGCACGCACAGCGATATGTCAGATGACGTTTTTTATTAGCGTAAGTATATACATATATACTCGTAATTCTAAACATACATATACACACGTACTAAAGCATGCGCACCCGCAAACGTACATGTGCATTTTACACGCACATGCCTAGGCCCTATATCCTTCACGCATTCGTAACCTCACACACACACACACACACACACACACACACACACACTTGTACTTAGCTGTAAAGCTATTCGTTACAATTTATAGCGGTCAAGAGCTGTACTGGTATTTTAGCAAGTGTCTAAAGGCTGACAGTGATAAATCACTTACTTTATAATATCATTATTACCTTCGCCAAGGAGGGTATGTTTTCACCCCTGTTTGTTTGTTTGTCATCAACATAACTCAAAAAGTTATAGATGAATTTCGATGGAATTTTCAGGGTAGGTCAGAAATGGGTTAACTTAGAAGTGATTAGTTTTTGGTGGTGATCTGGATAAATAATCAATCAATAATCAAAAGTAAAAAAACTAAGTTATGGACCGATTTTGATGAAATTTTTAGGAACTGTCAGAAGTGGGCCAAGGAACAGGTGATTAGTTTTTGGTGGTGATCCGGATCAATAATCAAAAAACGAAATCATTTTAGAATGCAAATTTAGGGGTGAAACGGCATTGGATGGAGACTTTGCTGCCTTGGCAGAGGTCTGCGCTCTCTGAGTAGTTTTCTACTTAACATAATAGCTTGCATAAGTATATAGACTTAACATGTATAAAGGCAGATTATTTAGTATAGCAGAAACAATTTCGTTGATTATAGAGTGTTTGTTCTAAGCATCCAATACAGACTACAGGTATTTCAGTTTTATCTGTACCAGGCATGTATGAGTACAGTAGATATTTGTACTCCATCACCTAATTGGCTGTTGAGACGATTGAAATGTGAGAACATATATTCGTATACTGGTATATCAAACTGTCAGAAATGACTACAAAGAGGATGCATATACTCATAACAATGATCGAGTAAGAAGCATATATTAATACATTGCTAAGATTCATGCCCGATGCCTCACCTACCGGATATCGAGCATATCTATTTATAAATAAACGTAGGAGCATCTACCTTCACAAGGCGTATGATATAGCAATACATAGGCCTCGCCACATATGATGTCTTGATTATGCAGAGTTATCAGATGGACGGTTGACAGTATTCCAGTTATTGATAAATTGAGTTTTCTTTTTGTCAGTCTGCATCAAAGTAGAGTACAGGTCAATGTTGCGGTACGACTTGATATATAAGTGGTCATTATTCCAGTTAGGTGTCTCAGCTTTAGCTATGCATATAGTTATAAATTTCTGAATGAGCAATATGACGATATAAAGACCCGGTTGCCTGTTATCAATGGCACCCAAAACTAAAATCTGTATTTTTCTCTCAAGCCATAACTTGTAATTTTGTTGAATACTCTGCAGCAGGCATGTCCATATGTTTTGGACATGGACACATTACCATAATCAGGGGCGTAACCAGACCTTTTAAAATTGTACGCACAGATTTTGAAAATTCCCAGGTACGATTATATTCCCTGAAAATACACTGAATTTAAGGAGAATTATATCATGGTTGGCTCAAAAAATTGTACGCACAGTGCATCCGTGCGTATGCCTGGTAACGCCCCTGATAATAAATGTTTTAATGTTTCGGCCTCAATTTGACAAAAGGTGCATATCTGTGGCTCACACAACTTTATTTTTTCCAACCGGTAATTAGTAAAATAGATACCATGATTTACCTTAAACTGTAATCTTGAGTATATACATGTAAAAGGTGCAGTGTAAATCAGATTCCACGTCTCTTCTTCAAGTAAGGCCCCGACTCTTGTTTCCCAGTACCTGCCAGCCCTATTTAACGATGGGTTGCTGTTTTTTAAAAGCATGTTATAAAAAAACTTTCTCATCTTTTGATATGAGTATCTTTATGTTATCATTCGAAATCCCCTCAATATTTTTCCCATACTCTTTTTTGACTGAGCGCCAGTCTCTTGGAAGTGACTTTTTCATTACCAGATATTGAAGAAAGCTGAAGGTTAGCACTATATTTTTTTGGTTTAATTCTTCTAATGTGCAAAGTTTCCCCCTAGCGTTTACAATATCAGAAATAAAGTAATTCCCTGCTCCAAGTTACAAAAGTATATATAAATATACTGGTATTTGACGCGCAGCCACTATTCCATTATTCAACTGTGTTGCATGCCATTCTTTCAAACACTAAATCCGGAAAAATTTCGTCTTAATACCACGTAGCTTATCTATTTCACAAACTGCCTAATTTTTGTGCGTGTTACATGATTTCTACTTATGTGAAGATGAAACACTGAACTTGCCTAAAAGGATTAGATTTTTTCGGAAAGGAAGTATAGAAGTCCTTGTTTTCGGTAACTTTGGCTGAACTTTAGAATGCGAGCTCTTTGATACCTAAGGATAACCAAAAATTAGACTCATGGGTAGAATCCATTTAAGTAAAAATGATTGTACCACGAAGTACTTTAGTATGATATCGCTTCAAAGTTAGCGGGATAAGTCAAGTTAACAAATGATCCATAATAGCCATTAATGACCATAAAATCTTCCATGTTTTATAGAACCGAAACGAATAATAATTCTAGCTAATTCTAACTCTTTTTGTTAATCACATTTAATAAATCTTACAGGTTATAATTTTACTGCTCAAGAGCTTCATCGCTCGCATGCAGTACGTACACATCATCGTATGGTAGAAGCAATGAAGTTCGCGTATGCAAAAAGAACCGAATTAGGCGATGAAGACTTTTTGAGAAACACCACTTTAGACCAGGTAAAGATATTGCTTATTTTTGAGGAAACACTCTTTTATTAGTGAACTATATGGTCGACCCATTTTCCAGAACTTCTATTTCGTTCCATATAAAGGCCATGATCAAAGTGAATTGCTGATAATACTGCATTTATTATTGAATGTTTTAGCTGGTGAAAAACATGACCTCCCTTGAGTTCGGGGACCATATCCGCAGTCTCATCACAGACAACACAACTCATGGCACGGCATATTATGGACCAACATTTTACGACAGAATGACCGAGGGTACCTCGCATTTGTCAGTTTTGGCGGGAAATGGAGATGCTGTCTCGGTTACCAGCACCATTAATTTATAGTATGTATACGTTTTGTATAAGTTTTGTTAATTACACCGGGGATATAAATCCCCGTCTCCATTGAAAGACATAAATGCATATAAGTGAAAGATAGCTACATGCATCAGATTATTTGTGTGAATGTTGAATACCAAATATCTGCAACAGGGCCTAAGCTGACTTAACTTGACATAAAACAGCATGAAGTTGTTTGACGTTAATAATGAGTAAGATATACATGTACGTGTGGTGCTGTTTATTTATCTATTTTTGTATTAACGTAGTAGACATTTCCGTATGTTTCAGAATTGGTAAGTCCAAATTTCATGAAGTAAACTTCACTTTGGAAAATTATTAAATCATATAAGTCTGTTTTCAGTTTAGGATCTCGAGTTCGAGGGAACAAGACAGGAATTATATACAATGATGAAATGGATGACTTTTCCTCTCCAAACATAACCAATGCATTTGGAATCCCACCGTCTCCCAACAACTTCATTCGACCCGGAAAGCGCCCTCTATCGTCCATGTGCCCAACCATTGTAGTTAATAAGAACGGTGACGTAATCCTGGTTGTCGGAGCATCCGGTGGAACCAGGATAACCACTGCCATCGCATATGTATGTAATTTTCTGTTGTATGTATTTAGCATAACAGTACTCATGTTTCAGTACAATCTGGTACAATGTCATAAACGGATTTTCAGTGGTGGGCATCCTCATCTAGCCATATTTTATACGTCTCTTTCCTTGCCTGCGGCTCAACAATGCACTCGTAACATTTCTCGTACAGCTCGGCGACTCGCACTGTATCAATCACATAATTCTAATCCAGAAGCACATCCTTAAAGTATGTTTGTTATCACGGCACTATTACTATAATCGAAACTTGATTACGTTACAAATTTTCAGGTTACGGCACGTACACTATGGTTCGGTGAAAATATCAAGCAAGCCATCGATGCTCGTCGAATTCATCACCAACTGTTACCGCCTGAAATAAGTTATGAGGAAGGGTTCAGAAAAGTAAGGCTTTAAAGAAATTTCCGTTGTATTTTTTATTATTTTTTTTTTTGCTTTGTAACCACCCCATAAATATGTAATTAAAATGTTAAATTAACCGAACCAAAATGCTTCTTTTCAGGTGTACATCTCGGGTCTGAGGGCGCTAAACCATAATTTAACAGAGAGAGCTGTCGGGGGCTCTGTGGTACAGGGTATTCACAGAAGCGGAAGTGCCATCTATGCAAACTCGGACTTCAGAAAAGGTGGCTATCCTGACGGTTTTTAGAAACTACAGTTTTAGAAAGCGTATTACCTACCACCGGTGTTATGATAATAAGATTTAGTTTGTTTTTTAAATTAGCTTATTTTATGGTCGATCTGTCCAATTGTCATTTCCCGTCAGCTATTATTGGGTTTCTTCAAAACAAGTGCTGATTAAGTTGGGCTAAAATTCACATTCACGACTCTACTCATATACACAATATTACTAGGAAGAAAAATAATTTAACACAGCAGATAGGGAGAACACCCAGACAAATACTGGCTTAACACAGTCTGGCGATCGTTCATCGCAAAATTTTACAAGCATTAGTACCATACAGGCTTACGTGCCCGTTTTCTATCAAGAAATGTGATGAGAATGAATTTGATCGGTCCAGCTAGTGCGATGGATTTATGGGAACGCTCCCTAAAACACTGTATACGGCAAAATTTTGGAAAATTGTTTAACGCTAAGACCTTTACACGTTCAAGATTTCCTTGCTTGACTGGTTGAGATTTTTGTCTAGTAGAAGGGAGGTTGAACTTGCACTACAAATACAATGTGTTCGGATATTTTACCTTTTTTTCTTATATATATTTTACCCTTATATTTTAACATTGAATATCTCTGGTTTTAAAGTTGTGAATACATGTAGATATACTTCAATATTCCAAACATCTCTATATTCGAAACCATTGCATTGATTTAAATTCCCACCAGTGCAAACCTGTGCAAACTGGCCAAACAAGATAATGATTTTCGTACTGAAAGCATTCCGGTATGTCATCGTGCAATAATCAACTACAGCGCTTACAGGATGAAACTTGTATTACAACAAAATGCAATAAATTTTGTCAACAAGAATAAAATCTTTATGTCTCCTCCATCTCAGTGTACCACAAACTTTTATAGTCTCATTCATAGCAAGAAAGAAGGTAACAAGGAATATTGTTTGTTCGTGATTTGGCCAAACCAGGCCGCTTTTATTATATAACCCCTCTATCCTAATCGTTTTAACAATAATAACAATGTAGCAAATTGTTGCCTGTATTAAATGTTATGGCCTTAGGGATAAAAATTATATATCAAATATTCAATGAGACTCATCATCCTAAAAATTATGATGCGATGACTCAGCAAAAGTTATTATTTACCAACAATTTTGCACAAATTTCATTTGTGGGGTTGCAAAGTAAAATGAAATTTTTTGAACTGAAGATTTCAGTTGCAGATTTGAGATAACTTGTAGCTTAATTGTATCATGCTCGTGAACAGAATGAATCAAGCAAAATGAGGCCAGGCAGTGATGCCCCATGGTATAAGTAGCAACATGTGCCTCTAAGGAGATTACCCCTCTAGGGCACAATTGAGCATGAGCAGAATGCACATGTGCTTAAATAAGCTCTCTGGAGATTGTTGTCGCCATAAAATGTCGTTTGACTACGCCAAACTTTCCTTTTTTTGTGTGTGTGGATAATGAATTGGCATTTGTAATTTATGTACCAGAAAAGATAATGAAAGTTGTCAACTAAACCTTCTGTCAATTTTCATTTGTAAGTTAATGTTTTAGTCAGACCTGTCTTTACAGAAAAGCTTCACTAAATGATTTTCTAATGATGTATTTATTTCTTTGGTCAAAATTCAACGCACCCTCAGAATGAACTCTTGGTGATGAATAAAGTACCATTCATTGATAAGTCATCGCAAAACGAATGGGGCTAGGTAACATATAGTTGCACTGATTGACGAAATGGCAGCGTTTCGAAATCAAATTTTTATCAGTAGTAGTCTAACGGAATGAAGCATTGCCCTTGTTTCATAGTCTATAAGTTGTCCATCAATATCGTTTCAAACCATTTCCATTTTGGCGAGTCTAATTTCTGTTTTTAGACTTTGCTAAAAGAAGTATAAATTAATAAATATTGAAGGCCGTAAACCACACTAAATGTACCAAACATTCGTAAACCGTCAGTAAAAAGCACAGCTCTTTGTCTTTTCGGTACAGTTTATAATTTATAACCAATAGGAAGGTCTATAATGTCGCTAATAGGGCTTATTATACATGTACCTTAACGTTTTTGAGTGGCTTGTTTGTGCACAAGAGCTCCCTTGCGCTCTTCTAGCCTCCCTATGATAGTAACGACCAAGTTCACAAAAGAGTTGACTGTTCCATTGGCTGGCCAACTCACCAAATTGATAAAACAAGAGAGTTATAGTCTAAATGCTCAAATTATGGTACATTGGCAAGGAATATGATGTTAACGGACCCAAAAGTAATTACATTGGGACATCTGGAGTTCATAACACTCCCAATATTTTACAATCGAAAAAAATGGAATAGCATGTTCATTGCTAAACGTATTTTCTGGTCAGACTTTTATAGACTAACAGGTCAATAGTTTATATAAGTACACTGCTATGGATTTATCTCGAACTGAAATAGAACAATTAACAGACTAAAGCTCTTTTATGAATCCAGCCACAGGCTTCCAGAGAAATACGTGTAGCATGCGAAAAATGTTCGTGAGGTTGGCCAATGAGAGCCAACACCAGGCACTGGAACGCTAAGCTGAAGTCCAAGATTATCTGAACATGCACGGTCTATACATACTCTGTCAACCTTAACCACCACCATGCAACAGTTTTAAAATACTAGAATTGATTATTTAGAAAAGCCCTCCTAGAACACCTCTTCTTCCCAGGGTGAGACAGCCAGGCGAACCACGACTGTAATTTAAAAAATCCTACACCCGAGATCCGCTAGTAGTAACCTTCTGTTTTATATTATATTAAAGGGATAACAACTGTTCTTATGAGGTTTATAATTCACAATAAATACATTGTACATAAATACAACTCATAAAAATATAATTAATTCCATTTCACCACTAAAACAGCGGTTATCGCAATTATTCTCGAATCAGTGCGAACAGTAGTCATTTCACAAAAACTAGTTATTTTGATAAGAATATGAAGGATCGGTTAATTTCGATTACTATTGCAAAACTTCTTAAATTATGAATCGGGCATAACTAAACCCACGTTTACTTATAGTACTTATACTTGTAGTCTAGATTTGAGTGCGGAGGTGATCTGCCACGCAGCTGGTCTGGCTGGCATCTGCCTCTTTACAAATCATGGATCTTTTTCAAGTTTTTGAGGTTCAGTCTTTCACCTAAAATTAATACAAAAATTGAGGCTTCTGTAGCTATCACATTAAATTGAACGGTAAACGCGAAGATATACAATGAAAAACTGTCACAAATGGAAAAATGCTTAGAAAGGTATATTTCTCCTTTTGAGGAAGATACAGGCAGCTTTAATTTTTGTTTAAAAAGTCTGTCGTATAGGTAATGTATGACGCAATATTTGGTAGTTCCCTTCTATACCTGCACATTACTGGAGTTATATCAACCCAAACTGCAGCCTTATTCTCAAATTTCTGCAACGGTCCATAAATGAAAATGTATGGATAATAATAGGTCAATTTTTTTATAAATCATCTTTACACGTTACGTGTTTTCAGTTCAATTCCCTGAAATTATGTCCCCAACTCCCGCTGCACCGCCTACATAGTGTGCTCATTCTGTTAGTTGAGAAAACGCTCCTGATGCAATGCACGTGCATACTACCAGCATGGCTGCACCCGCACCACATAGACAACACTTCAGAAAAAAGCAGGACAATAAGGAATATTAACAACATGCTGTAGCCCCGTAACATATGTGGATTAAGAGTTTTCTCTTCCTATTTTGTTTTGAGCTGCTCAACTCGCCGTTGTGACTACGAATGTCTTTACGAATACACAGGTAGGCACCTAACAGCAGTGCATCGGGTGCATAACATCTCAAACATAAATTACACAAATCAGTGATCGTTGTGATGGTCAAGTATGCATAAGCAAGCGACATGTGGGGATGTAAAGGAAAAATAGGCAATCAAACTACTTAAATGCGTGTCATACACATTCTTGATACAGAGCTAAAGTAGGTCGAGAGCTTTCGGTATCTCAAGCGTGGTGAATACCAAGTCAGCAAGACTTTCCGTACGTCACACCCACTCCTGCTTTGTACTCGTTCACTTTACGAATCATCGCATACATATATTTATTACACATACTAATACATATTTACTAATACAAGACTTCGTGTAAGAGCTTTAGTAAGACAGGTGTGGCAGGAATGGTAGTCCACTACGAACCGTAGTCTGTTCCCCATTTTCTTTCCAATTGTATGCCTCGTTATGAAATTGGGTCACGCTGAAAGCTTTGATGTGTTGAACTATAAATTTCCAGAAATATAATTTAAGGGTTATTGATTGGCCAAACAAAAATGTTTTCTTCATATTAAGTTTTATATTTCTAATTACCATAATATAATATAATATAATATAATATAATATAATATAATATAATATAATATAATATAATATAATATAATATAATATAATATAATATAATATTCTAGGTACTCTCCACTGACACAAGGTGTGGATGATGACGATGAACAATACGTACTTCAGCTTGGACAAAGTGAAGACGAATCACCCCTGCGGCCAACCCCGCCTTTCTTTCCGTCATCAGTGGATTGTTTAAATAAGTATGTTGAAAAGGTGAAGGCTTCGTTCACATGGAAAGTCTATTTTCTAAAAATCTATTTTCTATTCTATTTTCTATCTTATGATCACGGTCTGTGCCCTGAATACCCCGCGGCTTAATTACTGGCAGCGCGAGCCAGTTACTTCCAAAGATGTAATTAATTCTCGGCTGCGCTCGGAGTGATCATAAGTTATCGCGAATAGAAAATAGATTTTTAGAAAATAGACTTTTCATGTGAACGGAGTCGAGAGGAGTACGGCTAGAAAGCTAAGATTGGTCAGTGTGTGTGTATGTGTGTGTATGTGTGTGTGTGTGTGTGTGCGTGCGCGACCGCTCTCGCCGACACGACTGTGTGTGTGTTTGTGCAATCACCTGCGCGTTTGTGTACTAGTATGTGTGTGATGATAAATATAANAAACCATGAGACCGGAGGCCCCCCGTAGCTAGCTCCGCCCACCGTAACAGACATCGGACAATAGAGAGGCTTGCGTGTAATCTCCTTCTGTTATAACTCCTTGCTTATAGTACGTCTAGATTTGAGTGCGGAGGTGATCTGCCGCGCAGCTGGTCTGGCTGGCATCTGCCTCTTTACAAATCATGGATCTTTTTCAAGTTTTTGAGGTTCAGTCTTTCATCTAAAATTAATACAAAAATTGAGGCTTCTGTAGCTATCACATTAAATTGAACGGTAAACGCGAAGATATAGGCCTACAATGAAAAACTGTCACAAATGGAAAAATGCTTAGAAAGGTATATTTCTCCTTTTGAGGAAGATACAGGCAGCTTCACTCTTTGTTTAAAAAGTCTGTGTCATATAGGTAATGTATGACGCAATATTTGGTAGTTCCCTTCTATACCTGCACATTACTGGAGTTATATCAACCCAAACTGCTGCCTTATTCTCAAATTTCTGCAACGGTCCATAAATGAAAATGTATGGATCAGGATAGGTCAAATTTTTATAAATCATCTTTACACGTTACGTGTTTTCAGTCCAATTCACTGTAATTATGTCCCCAACCCCCGATGCACCGCCTACATAGTGTGCTCATTCTGTTAGTTGAGAAAACGCTCCTGATGCAATGCATACTACCAGCATGGCTGCACCCGCACCACATAGACAACACTTAAGAAAAAAACAGGACAATAAGGAATATTAACAACATGCTGTAGGCCCATAACATATGTGGAGTAAGAGTTTTCACTTCCTATTTTGTTTTGAGCTGCTCAACTCGCCGTTGTGACTACGAATGTCTTTACGAATACACAGGTAGGCACCAAACAGCAGTGCATCGGGTGCATAACATCTCAAACATAAATTACACAAATCAGTGATCGTTGTGATGGTCAAGTATGCATAAGCAAGCGACATGTGGGGATGTAAAGGAAAAATAGGCAATCAAACTACTTAAATGCGTGTCATACACATTCTTGATACAGAGTCAAAGTAGGTCGAGAGCTTTCGGTATCTCAAGCGTGGTGAATGCCAAGTCAGCAAGACTTTCTGTACGTCTCACCCACTCCTGCTTTGTACTCGTGCACTTTACGAATCATCGCATACATATATTTATTACACATACTAATACATATTTACTAATACAAGACTTCGTGTAAGAGCTTTAGTAAGACAGGTGTGGCAGGAATGGTAGTCCACTACGAACCGTAGTCCGTTACCCATTTTCTTTCCAATTGTATGCCTCGTTATGAAATTAGGTCACGCTGAAAGCTTTGATGTGTTGAACTATAAATTTCCAGAGATATAATTTAAGGGTTATTGATTGGCCAAACAAAAATGTTTTCTTCATATTAAGTTTTATATTTCTAATTACCATAATATAATATAATATAATATAATATAATATAATATAATATAATATGATATTCTAGGTACTCTCCACTGACACAAGGTGTGGATGATGACGATGAACAATACGTACTTCAGCTTGGACAAAGTGATGACGAATCACCCCTGCGGCCAACCCCGCCTTTCTTTCCGTCATCAGTGGGTTGTTTAAATAAGTATGTTGAAAAGGTGAAGGCTTCGTTCACATGGAAAGTCTATTTTCTAAAAATCTATTTTCTATTCTATTTTCTATCTTATGATCACGGAGTGTGCCCTGAATACCCCGCGGCTTAATTACTGGCAGCGCGAGCCAGTTACTTCCAAAGATGTAATTAATTCTCGGCTGCGCTCGGAGTGATCATAAGTTATCGCGAATAGAAAATAGATTTTTAGAAAATAGACTTTTCATGTGAACGGAGTCGAGAGGAGTACGGCTAGAAAGCTAAGATTGGTCAGTGTGTGTGTATGTGTGTTTGTGTGTGTGTGTGTGTGTGTGCGTGCGCGACCGCTCTCGCCGACACGACTGTGTGTGTGTTTGTGCAATCACATGCGCGTTTGTGTACTAGTATGTGTGTGATGATAAATATTACCATCATTGTTAAGTAAAATGCACTAACCAAAGCTCTTCCTTGTTAATTTCCAATTTTTTCTCTTCACACTTTAACAACCCTCGGGACATTTGGTCATCTCTCTACTCTTTCGGGACGCCTATATGCTTTTAATAATCAGTGCTTTATACTCGTACTAGATGTTTATTATGAAAGCATCTTTCATCTCACGTTTTTATTATGCACTTTGTAAACACTTTTCTTGTTTGACATGTGGATCAAGTTATTTTGCATTTAAGTTATATATATGCGAATGACTTCGCATATTTCGATGACCTATCGCTTGCAACTTTAAACCAATCAGTGCACGGTATTTTTCACACGGTCACACCCCAAGCCTTGTCACTAGGCAGCTATTTTTAGCAACGTGCTCGGTATCCAGTTAGTATCGGTATCCATTGGTCTTTGCGGACAGGAAGACAAGAATTTTCACGAAAAAATATTTCAAAGATGTCAGTGACTTCTTCAATTTCAGATGATCAGCCCAACTCTATTTTTAACACGGTAATAACGAAATTCATCCCCCCCCCCCCTTTTTGAAAAAATGTTACAAGATGTGAATAAAAGTATTGCACAGAAGATCCATGAAGCTGAACAGTTAGGAATCGGGTATATTATCACGTTGTTCCAAAAAATATTCAGAATTTTGAAGAAATAAAGCTTTGCCTCCCAACGACGGGACTTCAAGTTTATCTAATAAAAAGGAAGCCTAGTCAAAATTTAATTCCAATTGATAAGCTTATACAAATTATATTTGATAATATATATGTATTTGAAATCCAAACATATTTTTTCTAATTCAACTAAAAAGCTTGTGGTATGCATCTCAATACACCATATTGGTCATGATATAAAACACGCATATGGTACATTAACATAAACTAGCCCACTTAATGATATTGTTTAAATATGAAGTTACTTGAGGGCACTTACATGGTATGTTTAACTACTTTACTTACAATGTATGTGCTCGCCTACCAAAGTAAGTGCGTTATTTTTTCACTAGACGGTTGATGCCTGTGTCCAGGGTCGGATCCAGAATTATTTGAAGGGGGGTCCGCGGATGTGGTATTTTAGAAGGCGAACGGTGCCATTTGGTATAGTTTAGCACTATAGATCAGCTCGTCAAAATTATAATTCCAAGAGGGAAATATAAATGTGATTTTTTCAGGAACTGAAGAGGAGGTCAGGACCCCGCTTGACCCCCCCCCTCTCCCCCTTAAATCCGCCTCTGTCCGTGTCAACGCTGATTGGTTGATAAGCCGCAGTGCCTCTTTCACAGAGATATAGCTATTCAAGTAGTGCGGGAAACACTTTTTAATTAACCGTGAACTCTATTAAGATGTTAGAGAAGACCATTTTAACTTTGCGATCTATGTTGAAGAACATTTTAATGCATTTAATGACACTGAAAAGTTAAATTTTTCATGCAAAATAGTAAGATGCAATTTAAGACAGCAAAAGAGTACGTACACGCAATGATGTGGAGAAGAAGTACATTTAATACATGTACAGACGAGAGGATTTGAAAACGTTTCATATAAAATATCCTTTCTATGTGATTAATTGATCGGTAATTTATTTTAAAGAACTTCTATGAATTTTAATTGTATCTCAGGTTTAAGTCGCTCATAACCCTTAGTAGGTTGGGTTTTATTTTTAAACGTGAGACGTAAATAAAATCATTATTATTATTATTATTATTATTATTATTATTTTAATTTATGTCAAAACAATAAGCGTGTCTTTTCATGATCAGATGATTCCCTAACGTTACGATCCTTAAGCCTAACATGCCATTTGTGGCGTAAATTATCTACTAAAGACGGTTGTAAAAAATGCATTCATAAACCGAAGTTTTAGCCCGAAAATTGCGTACCTCACAACGACTTTCATGAAGGCTTCCAATTTGTCTAATTTCAAGCATGAGTTTGCGTAACCATGCAAAGTAATGACATGGCATGATCACTAGACATTGTGTCTCGGAGAAATTTTCCTGGAAGAAAGACCTTGGCTGAATAACATAGGGTCTAGTCATCATATCAGACTTATATCGCTTACAGCACCAGAAAGACGCGCCACAAAAATGACATTTACGAGGTTCTGTCTCCAATGTAAGCCGTCCACTCTGGCAGATCTCGATTATGCGTACAGTAGACCGCAATTCTTATAAGGCATTTTTACGAATAAAAGCAATTATTATGTGTTTCAATTTCTTCAATATTTCATCTAAATACATGATAGTTTACATCCTTGAAATCACCATATTGTCGCAGAAAACCGCAAATTGCAAGGTACAGCTTATAAGCCACCTATATCCGTGTCACTGGCGAAACTCTTTTATGTATGTGTTCTCAACTCGAAAAAAAAGTAATGCTAGTCTTATGTTTCTTTGCTGACACAGCTTCTGCACCTGCGCAGATGTTTGAATACCGTGTTTTCGTCTCACCTGCTAGTCTTATCTATAACAAATAGACTTATTCGTTTGAACTCGATCAAATGCCACCGGCAAATCAATTATTATGCATCTGTAAATGGTACAGTTTATATCTAACTTGTCCGATGCTTATCTCTTTCTGTTGACAAGTCCTTTCCGTCGTGATTTACATTAGTCTTCTGCAAAGAATGTAAGCCAATGAAATGTCAGCAACGGTATAATATGTAAACAGATACAAGCCTGTTAGCTTGACTTAGTAAACGGCAAGTCATTGGGTTGGGAGTTAGATGAAGATAGTTGTGTCATAAAGGCCCGTTACTATCATGAAGGAATCGTTGCAAAGCAGTGTGCATGACTATGGGAGTAGGGGGCAAATTGAGGGAAAGAAACACCGCAAACGTATCAGGTAATTACTTTTTATAATCAATAAAGTGCAGGATAAAGGGTAAAAAAAGAGAGAGAGAGAGAATATTTTTGACGATTAATTTCCTAAGTTATTTATTTTACTGGTATAGTACAGGGAGTTAATAGCTTTGTCGAACTAAGACGTGCTTTTGTAGGGAGATTGTTAAAGTTATCAACGGCCCACCCAGTATTTACCTAAGAAATACACATCCAATTTATTGATGTTGTCAGACTGAAATGAACACACATGTCCACAGATTGTCATTCTGGCACGTCTCTGTTCAAGCTTTTGTTGATACTTAAGTCATTCTGTGTCGCTCTCAGTTATAAATAATGCAACCTAGATCTACTGAAGGCTAGCTAGCCTGAATTTAAATTGGGAATACACTTTGCTCTCGGATCTGAAAAGATGATGTACATATCTGAATAGAAAAATACAAAAAAAGAAAAAAATTATATGATACGGTGTGTATAAAAAAGTTTTTGACATTGGTTTACATAACTTCAGCATTTAAAATGCATGGGTAACTTAATTGCTTCTAAAGCATCAGGTTACTAGGTGCATTGTCTGTGACTCAGAAGATCGCCTGGACGTGGGGTGGTACATGTAGTGAATATCAGACGGGTGGGTGAACCCGCCAATCGATCAATATTATTTTTGTCTATTGAAAACTACTTGCCAAACTAGGCCAATGCCCACGTATACCTGTACGTGCAGGTTCACAAAGGGTAGCTTAGTTTTTTGGATGAATTTGTTTACCATGTCAAACAAAATTTGTATCGCTGTTATAACCTATAGATGAATACTGGTTTACGTGACCGGTGTACTAAAATAAAAAATATGCGCTGACCTCATCAGTTTAAAAAAATACCTGTACGCACCTCTTTTAAAAAGGTGTAGGAGTCTGTTTTATTGATGGGTGACAGGTCCAATTATAAAGGAATATGTATTTATTTGTAATTATTTGCAAATTTTCGTGACAAATGCCTGGGATCATGTCTGTCGTGTGCGTTTGTGATGTTTCCTCCTAGACCATTAGAATGAGAAACTTGAAACTTCGGGATTGATAAACGTATCATCATTGATTGCCCGTCGGAAATTTAACGCACCTGGAGTCGGGCTTTCTATGGAAGTGGATGACTGTATGCATATAGGCCTACAATTCCATTATCTTACCTGCTTTTACGAAAAAGTAGTGCACGATTTATTTCGTAAAATTTGGTTGTCGTATGTCGAATGTTTCATGATATCTCGAACGTTTGTATTATCAGTACGGATTTGTTGGAATTTTTCACATTAGTAAAATACTTTCAAAAAGGTTTATGGATTAATTTACAACTTCCATCATGTACGCGTCTCCAAAGATACGTAGCTTTTAAAAACCATATTTGTTTGACTGACCAGTAGATTTTTCAATGACGATACGTTCTTGTTCAGTTTCCCTATGTTAATTTAAGATCATTCATAAAATGTGCAAGTCGTACCATTTTGCATCCTCCACTGGGGATACAGTATCTGGAACCATTTGATTTCTAGGTACTTAATTATTGAAATATGCTGAAATATTTTTCAGTTTCCGCAAACGATGGGCTATCTTGCTGGTCTTTGTGCTAGTGGTGGCAGTTGTGGTATTGTTGGCAGTTCTCTTTGCTACTGGTACCATACCTGTGGGTGGCACGTCAATCGGTAGCGTGTCTGCCTCCAAAGGTGGAAGTACTACTCCAAAATCAACCGATGACCCAGAGGCGCCTCCCTCGGCTTCCCGACTGGGAGAATACAGGTTTGCCGCTGTAGCCGCGGATGCTGGAGAATGCTCAAAAGTGGGGACGTAAGTTACAAGTACATGTAATTTTCCCATGCATGCGGTGCTATGTTGCTTATGAGTTTCGCAGTAGTAAGATATGTTCTTGTTCCCCTTCTAACAATGAGATGAGATGATCATATTAGCTATAATCTGAAGGTAACATCCAGTGATCTGGATATTCAGTCCACTAATTAGCGCACCAATTGATGTAAATGTATTCATTTATTTATCATTATTTACCTACTTGCCCACTCCTTCCAACCTACTTATCATTTTCTTCCAGAGAATTTCTTGCCCGGTGTGGCTCAGCAGTAGATGCGGCAATCGCATCATTGCTATGTGTAGGAGTACACAATGCGCACAGTATGGGTGTCGGAGGAGGTTTCTTCATGACAGTTTATAACAGGTTATATATGTATGTGTGTGTGTGTGTGTGTGTGTGTGTGTGTGTGTTGCAGCAAAATTAAGATTGGCCATTGCTTTAGAATTGTTTATCAGAGAGTAAAATGAATAGATTTTGTTAATGATACAATGCATGCATTCAAGTCCCTTGTTTTAGGATATATTTGATTTGATCTTGAGGGGAAAGTAAGGGAAACCATATATATATATATATATATATATATATATATATATATATATATATATATATATATATATATATATATATATAACTGTACTTTTTTGTTTGGCTGCATGAAAATATATTTTGATTGTTTACTGTTGTAAGGGCCAACAAAACAGCATATACAATTGATGCAAGGGAACAAGCACCGGCTGCCGCTAATGAGACCATGTTCACCAACAACCCTAGCAAAACCGCATCTACTATTGGTAAGGGTGTAATGTAAAACAATATGGGTATACAGGATGTGTTGCCCTGCTTGATAACTTCTGACGCGCCAGGTATGTGACAGAAATATTTTAAGATGTGCCCAAGCACGGACGTCAGGTTTGAAGCATGTTATATCAGAGGATTAGCAAAGAATTTGAAGAATGATGCGCAGGCGCAGAATTATTCTATTTTCACTTTTTGTTAATTAAGTGACGTTTTGGAGACATCGTAGATTTTAACGGCAGGTTAAGTTGAACTATGGATGGGAGCGTTCTTGATTGTGGTTTTGACGTGTTTTTTAATAGGGGGACTAGCCATTGGGGTGCCAGGAGAAATAAGAGGCTACTGGTTGGCCCACCAACGTTTTGGTAAACTACCGTGGAAGGAGCTGTTCGTGCCTACCATAAAAATGTGCAGATCAGGGATAAAAGTCGGGAAACCACTGGAAATAGCCTTAATAGCACGAGAAAAGGAAATCCTAAACGACACTAGCCTCAGGTCTGTAGTGCTTCTTTCGAAACTAATTATTTAGAATATGAATTTGAATTCAAAGTTAGCTAGGGCCTAAGGGGGAAAGAATGCATTATGTAGAAAAATGTATGGTACCTCCCTTTCCATGGGAACTTATTATTGTGTGCTCAGTACCCAAATGCCCTAACATTTGTCAACCTGAACTTGGTCAAATTATTGATTACAGATCTTGTCTTTATGCCTTTGTCGCCTTCATATTTCTGAGGTCTGCAAAACAACAAATTGGCCAGAACCAAAGTTTATGAATGCACAAAAAGTTTGACATCTATGTTTCTTGGTATTTTTGCAGCGAAGTGTTCGCCCCAAGAGGAAAAATATTAAAAGCAGGTGATATGATGTACAGATATAAGTTAGCGGTTACGCTAGAGAGGATTGCCAATGCTACCGATGGAGGATCGGAATTTTACGATTCTAATTTGGCTCAAGACATCGTTGATGAAATACAGGAAAAAGGTCAACTATATTTGTTAAAGAAGGCTAATATACCACTTGATGCCGTAAACTGCTTATGAGAAATAAAAAGAAAAATATGCAATTGCAATTACATTCACATGTTGCATTTATTAATCCATTTTGTAAATAGCAAATGGCAAATTATGATATTTTAAACTGTGAAATGTATTTAACTGTCGAAATTAAGAGTAATTGATTTGGGTATATCTTGACGTTAGGTGGCATTATAACAAGACAGGACATGAGAGAATACACAGCGAAAGAAAAGAAACCCCTGGAACTTAAAATGAACGACGGAATGAAAGTGTTCTCACCCCCACCTCCATCTAGTGGGGCTGTTTATCAATTTATACTCAACATTCTCCAAGGTGGGCTCTTATGGTTATGCCTTTTTGGAAATGATATTCTTTGGCGTTTGATTTAAATGACCCTTATTGTTATGCAAAAGAAAATAAAAATGGGAACTTCTCTTGCTACACAGACTATTTCGTGTGCAGAATGTTTTAAATGTAGGCCTACCGATCAAATTTAGGTATGCATGCACGCACCGTGTTATACAACGTGTAGCCATTATTTCAAAGCCTCGATCAGTATTCAGCCCTGGTTGTTGCCCTTCTCTCAAGCACTAAATGTGGCAGCTAATTAGTCCACAAACTGTCTTATTTTTATGTACAGACACAGATGTGTCTGTACATATTGCCATCACCTGCGTCTGTCGTCGCCGTCCCTGTCGCCGTCGATGTCGCCGTCGCCGTCGCCGTCGCCGTGCACTTTCCTCGTTAACACGCTAAGTGGAAGACAGTTTTACTTTTTNTGGGCCTGGGGGAGAACGAATGCATTATTTAGAAAAATGTATGGTACCTTCCTTTCCATGGGAACTTATTATTGTGTGCTCAGTACCCAAATGCCCTAACATTTGTCAACCTGAAGTTTGTCAAATTATTGATTACAGATCTTGTCTTTATGCCTTTGTCGCCTTCATATTTCTGAGGTCTGCAAAAAAACAAATTGGCCAGAACCATAGTTTATGAATGCACAAAAAGTTTGACATCTATGTTTCTTGGTATTTTTGCAGCGAAGTGTTCGCTCCAAGAGGAAAAATATTAAAAGCAGGTGATATGATGTACAGATATAAGTTAGCGCATACGCTAGAGAAGATTGCCAATGCTACTGATGGAGGATCGGAATTTTACGATTCTGAATTGACTCAAGACATCGTTGATGAAATACAGGAAAAAGGTCAACTATATTTGTTAAAGAAGTCTGATATACCACTTGATGCCGTAAACTACTTATGAGAAGTAAAAAGAAAAATATGCTATTGCAATTACATTTACATGTTGCATTTATTAATCCATTTTGTAAATAGCAAATGGCAAATTATGATATTTTAAACTGTGAAATGTATTTAACTGTCGAAATTAAGAGTAATTGATTTGGGTGTATCTTGACGTTAGGTGGCATCATAACAAGACAGGACATGCGAGAATACACAGCGAAAGAAAAGAAACCCCTGGTACTTAAAATGAACGACGGAATGGAAGCAATCTCACCCCCACCTCCATCTAGTGGGGCTGTTTATCAGTTTATACTTAACATTCTCCAAGGTAAGTAGGCTCCTATGGTTATGCCTTTTTGGAAATGATATCTATGGCGTTTGATTTAAATGACCCTTATTATTGTGCTAAAGAAAATAAAAATGGGAACTTCTCTTGCTACACAGACTGTTTCGTGTGCAGAATGTTTTAAATGTAGGCCTTCCGATCAAATTTAGGTATGCATGCACGCACAGTGTTATACAACGTGTAGCCATTATTCCAAAGCCTCGATCAGCATTCAGCCGTGTTAGTTGCCCTTCTCTTAAGCACTAATTGTGGCAGCTAATTAGTCCACTAACTGTCTAGTTTTTGGGCGTTTTATATAGTTTCTACTCATAAGTAGATAACACATGGAATTTACTTATTTTGCTTTATAACCATTAAATTTTTAGTATGTAAGCTACTGTTTGGTACATGTACCAAGGAATAAATTATAATAAAACTAATAAGAAATAGATCATGAAGCAAATGATCATGCCCACACATACTTTATGAGTAGGACTACAACTAAAACATTCTGAACCCGAAACAGTTAGCGGAAAAAGTTGAGCTAACAAATGTTCCAAATGCAAACAAAAAGTTAAATGTAGAGTCTACAGGTAAGTACTTACTCTTTTTTGTTAAAGTATTCTCTGTGATGAATCTTACAGGTTATAATTTTACTGCTCAAGAGCTTCACCGTTCGCATGCAGTTCGTACATATCATCGTATGGTAGAAGCGATGAAGTTCGCGTATGCAAAGAGAACCGAGTTTGGTGATGAAGATTACTTGAGAAACACCACCTTGGACCAGGTAAAGAAATCAATTACTTTTTAATGAAAAAAAAATTATGGGCGAAAGTCACATAAGAGCGTCTTTGTTTGTCGTTTCGCATAAACCGTTCATCATTATCATCAAACTGAATTGTTTAGTTAACATACAGGTACTTCATTTAATATTTTAGCTGGTGAAAAACATGACCTCCCTTGAGTTCGGGGACCATATCCGCAGTCTCATCACAGACAACACAACTCATGGCACGGCATATTATGGACCAACATTTTACGACAGAATGACCGAGGGTACCTCGCATCTGTCAGTTTTGGCGGGAAACGGGGATGCTGTCTCAGTTACCAGTACCATTAATTTATAGTATGTATAAAAAGTTTTGTTACGGCACAACACTTGCACTTGAAATCGGACGAAATTATATCTGAACGCATAGTCAAATGCAATTTCATGTGATGGATAGTGTACCTATATTTGAGTGCTGAATACCAAATATCGGCATTAAACTCGCATAGTGTTATATAAAACATTTTAAAACTGTTTGAAGTTTATACCTAGCAGGATAAACGGGTGCTGTTTTAACCCCCGTGGAAAATTTTCTCATTTATTTATTTATTTATTTATTTATTTATTTATTTTGACTAAGGTAGTCGAATCTTTGGCATATTTCAGTATTGTTAACTCCCAATTTAAGAAAGTAATCATCGAAAAATTATTACATCTATATAAGTCTCTTTTCAGTTTAGGATCTCGAGTTCGAGGGAAGAAGACAGGAATTATATACAACGATGAAATGGATGACTTTTCCTCTCCAAACATAACCAATGCATTTGGAATCCCACCGTCTCCTAACAATTTCATTCGACCCGGCAAGCGCCCTCTATCGTCCATGTGCCCAACCATTGTAGTTAATAAGGACGGTGACGTAATCCTGGTTGTTGGGGCATCCGGTGGATCCAGGATCACCACAGCCACCGCATATGTATGTTTTATTTTTCTCTTTTTGCCTTCTTAATTAACATTTCTCTTTTCTCAGTATAAATCATGATCAGAAGCGGATCCATTGGGAAAGGGCACACGTTCTATAACAAAACTTGTACATGTATTTCCTTCTTCTCTCCCCGCCCCCACCTTCCCATAGAATGGAAAAAATGATACGCATACTGAGGTCCATAAATCCATGTGTAATGTACTCACTTCAAACATAGATTGGAGAAAAAACGAATGAAGTACACCCCAATCCTTCTTGACATCCGGAATCTGCCAGTAACGTTAGTACTTAATTAAATTTTTGCTGGTATTCCCTGAGCTTCAGTGTATTTATAATCCAGAAGAACAACTTTACAATGTGTTTATTATCATGGTACTTTACTAGAATCGAAATTATGAATTTTCAGGTTACGGCACGCACACTATGGTTCGGTGAAAATATCAAGCAAGCCATCGATGCTCGTCGAATTCATCACCAACTGTTACCGCCTGAAATAAGTTATGAGGAAGGGTTCAGAAAAGTAAGGCTTTACGGAAATTTCAGTTAAGTATTTCCTTAGCTTTGTAATCATCCTATACATCAAAATGATATATTTAACTAAACCAAATGTTTCTTTTCAGATGTACATCTCGGGTCTGAGGGCGCTAAACCATAACTTAACAGAGAGAGCTGTCGGGGGCTCTGTGGTACAGGGTATTCACAGAAGCGAAAGTGCCATCTATGCAAACTCGGACTTCAGAAAAGGCGGCTATCCTGACGGTTATTAGAAATAGCGATTTTAGAAAGCGTATATTACCTACCACCGGTGTTTTGGTAATAGGATTATTTAATGTTTTGATTTTAGAATTTTTATGCTGTTATTTTCCGTCTGCTTCTTATAAGGGTTCTTGTCGGAAAACAAGTGTTGATCAAGCTTATCTTAAATTCATTAATCATGTAAAAGGCGACTCATATATATATATATGCATTATTGATAACAAATAAGAAGTGTAGTATCTATTCGCACAGCAGAAAAAAGTGCATAATGTAAATAAGACACTTAGCAGCTTTGGGCAAAATTTTGTGAAACTGTTAAACGCATACATTTTTGACACTTTCAAGATTCCCCTGCTCGACTGGTTGAAATATTGGTCAAGTAGAAAGGAAATTGAGCTTATGATACAAATGTGCTTGAATATTTAACCTCTTTTTCTTATATTTTACCTTTATATTTTAACATTTATATATAACTGGTTTTAAAATCGAAATCTTGTATACATGTAGACCTACTTCAATACTCCAGAAGACCTTATATTCAAAACAATTGCACCAGTTAAAATTTAACACTTATGCAGACTGGCCAACCGGAACGGTACCAATGTGCCATTTAACTGATTGTTTATATACTGAGAGCATTCCGGTATGTCATTGTGCAATTACCAGCTACACTCATATACTGCTTACAGGATGCAATCTGTACTACATGAATATCTCACTTACATTCCTGTAATATATGTTTTATGTTTTATGTGTGTTTGTGCTGTTTTTCGAAATGACTCTTCAATGAAATTTGTCAACAACAAAAAAGCGTTTTGTATTTTTTCCAAATTGGCGGATAATGAAATGTCATTAGTAATCTATGCAAATGGACGTTTTCACCCGAACCCTCTGCAAAATTTCATTTGTAGATTGTATTTTTTTTTTCAATTTAAAGTTTGTAAAAAAGGCTCTCAATAAATGATTGCATGTTTTAAGGATGCTATCTATTTCTTTGGTCAAAATTTAAGGCACCCTGAGTATGAACACTGACGATTAAATAAGGTTACCTTGATAAGTAATCACAAAACTAATGGTACTAGGTACAACTAATTGATAAATAAAAATTACACTGATTAACGTAATGGCAGCCTTTTGAGATCAAAATGTTATCGGTAGTGGTCAAACAGAACGAAATATTGTTTTAAAACGAGAAAGACAAAGCATATGTTTCAGGTCAATTGTATATAAGTGCACTACTACGGATTTATCTTAGACTGAAGTAGACCGATTTTAGGTCCAAAGTTCTGTTGTGAAATCGGCCTCTGACACAAAAAGCGTAGACGAACACGAGAAGAAGTTCTTGAAGTCGGCGAACGAGAGCTGAGACAATGCACAGGAACCCGTCAACCTCAAACACCACCAACCAACAGTTTTAATAAGTTAGAATTAATTATAAAGAAAAGGCCTCCAACAGCACGTCTCCGTTCCATGGTGACACAGTCACTCAAAACAAGGCCTTACTTTTATAAAACTAACACACGAAATACACGTACAATGACCTATTTTATATACTGATCCTGCAATCCTAAAAGGCGCATGTAGAAAGCTTTTGTCTCTGATAAAAGCTTAAAACTTATGCCTACAAAAATTCCATTCATCGCCCTACTTGAACAAACCCGTCGCAAGGCACATAAATATGTCACTGGATAAGGTGCTTACCTAAGAGCTGGTACCCGTTTCCTAAAACTTGCGGCACCAAAAGGTCACAACTATTACGAGTAAAAATCTGTAAAAAACGAGTAAAATCGTGTAACTGGATGGAAACAATAAAAATCATTGGTAGACAAGGCACACTGCCAAAAGGCCTCGATATCTGTTAAGCCAAAAGTCCTCAGTATCTCTCACGTCCTGAAGGGTACAAGGACGAGTCCTTCCTCAAATGAGACACTTTTTTAACCAATTATTTACTTGTTCCTGATAACACAGGGCACTTTGATCGAAAGATACGATCGAGTGGCCCATCCACAGACAAATATTGTCAAGGTCTCCGTTATTCTGCCACCAGTGTACGGTTCTCTGTACTTTTAAATAATGAACGAAACCGCTGCCACCAACAAAACAGGTTTCTGTTTTGTAAATCTTTATTTCTAAGAACAATTCTCAAGTCAAATGTACATGTTTCTGTATCTTTTACTAAACACTGTCTCTGGTTATCTTGCTGTACTGCTGTACTTCTAACTTGAACAATGACTGAAACTGACTCAAACTAAGTTGTGAAACTAAGTCAATCTAAGTGCTGACACTATACTGAACAGTAACACAGACTATAACTAACTCTATACTCTAACTGGCCAACACTGCGAAGAGCAGCTGTATTTATACATTTCAAAAGTGGACGGCCTTGAATGGTTCACTGCTGCTTTGACTGGCAGGCAGAGGAAAAGTGGACGGCCTTGAATGGTTGACCGCCAACCCCTCTACTGGACACCGCAATCCCCTCTTTAGTAAACTGATACCACTTACAAGCCATTCCAACTTAAGGTTCAAAGTTCAACAACACACTAGCCGAATGTAAACAAAAGGCTGTAGCTTACTGCAGTAATTTTTCCAAGAGTTTAAGGTATGTAAAATCGTTACAATATTCACGTGCACGGACGTGCATTGGGGTCATGCAGGTGTGTCCGGAACAATGGGAAACTTGACAATAGAACTGAATATCATACCACGTTACATACACAAGTACATGTACAAATTCTTCCGAACTTTACATTAATTGCTTAGTCTAGGTAGTATTTAAAGGTACATACGAACCGAGCATCGGTGGAGCGTGGATTCCCAGTAACACATGTAAACCACTTCTACTAGATTCTTATATGACTCAAATAAATTCGACATGCCAAGGGAAAAACTGAATAGATCACTCGATCAGCCATAAAAGACCTTTAGACTGCTCCTTTCTTTAAATTTTTGGTTGTAAATTTAACCTACTAATTTCGTGACCTACTTTCCTGCCCCATTGACATACAGCTTAGAATGCCAGCAGAAAAATCCGTTCAAACATCATTTTCGGGTAAAATTAAACAATGCCTTTTGGTAATTCTCTTAGTTATACTACTTGAAACTATATGCTGGCATTTGGTTGGTTTTAGTTACTTCGTTATTTAGACCTCAAGCAGTCAAGTAATCAGTACGCATGATGGTTAAGCATACGTGTACTAGTAAGCTTGTTACTGTCATTAAACTAGGCCATACCAGTAAGGTAACTGCCCTACCGGTAATTCTCATATATCCCATCGCAATTGCAAAATGCCATTATAACCTATATACAAGTTCGGGGGCTTGGTCTTCAGAAGAGTCTGTCCTATTATTCTAATGTAACTCAAGTACTGCTCTGATATATTCCATTGCATGTGAAAATACTTCTGCAACCCAAATATAAGTTGGACCTTTGGTCCTAAAAACGGAAGAAATAAATATGTTTGAAACAAAGGAGACCTCTTGTATTTTTTCTGTCTCACCCTGCTCGCCCTGCAGTACCTGCAAAGTGAGTTGAATTTGGAGACCTAACATCGAAGGTGATAAAAGTGTAATGGGCTGTTAATATTCCTCTAGTTTCTTTCATCCAGTCTAGAACAGGGTGTCCTGTCTAGAACATTAATCACTATGTCTGTCAAGTCAAAAACAAGGATTTCCTCTCCGTGTTTCATTTCCAGTCTTACAGTGTATACACCAATGACAAAGCATTGAGTTCTAAATTGTACACCAAGTACAAAGGTCCATGTTACATTACGAAGATATTATCAACAGGGTGTACGTATAAGGAACATAAATCGCCCGTTTATGCAAATAGATTGAAAATGTATTATGACCCTAAAGATTGCAATAAATACAAAAGTCTGAATGACAGTAATTATGAGCAAGACAACAAATCGCCTCCTGATATAGTACCACCAGCTGGAGCAAGTGCTTTCATATGGACCCCCCCCCCAAAAAAAAAAAAAAAGGGACACCACCTCCAGTCTTGTGCTTGACAAGCACTATAAAATGCAATGAACAAGAGTTATCAAAATATGCAAAAAATGCGAAAAAATATTACTAAAAATGGTACAATCAAGCAGATTTTCGAACTGACCTATATTTTCCTAACATTCATCACTCCTGTGATTTTCTAGTCAATAGGCCTATTGGTTTTCCTTGAAATGTGTTGTCAGTGTTGCATATATGCTGAAAAACGAGAAAACCTAGGGGCAACACTGGGGATATCTCTGCTAGTTTTGAAGATATGAGGGGCAAGAAAATATGCAAAGTTCAGTTCATGGTGAAAACGTAGGTCAAAGGTCAATTTCAATGTCACAGTATATGACTTCCTATTCAAGTTCAATAGAAACCAAGGGCATTTCTTTGCCAATTTTTGAGATTTAAAAGCCAGAAAACATGCTAAGTGCAGTTCACCATAAAAGGTAGGTCAAATGTCAATTTCAAGGTCACAGTTAGATAGCCAGTGTAAGATTTCCTATTCAAGTTCAACAGTAAATTTGGGCATAATTCTGCCAGTTTCTGAGATATAAGGGAAAGAACATTTATAAACTTCAGTTCAGGGTGAAAATTAGGCCAAAGGTCAATTTCAGGGTTACAGTTAGATTGCCAGTATATGACTTCCTATTCAAGTTCAATAGTAACTATGGGCACATCTTTGCCAGTTTTTGAAATATAAAGATCAGAAAATTTGCAAAGTGCAGTTAATCATGAACAGGTACATAGGTCAAAGGTAAATTTCAAGGCCACAGTTAGATTATCAGTATATGACTTCCTGTTCAAATTCAATAGTAACTATGGACCTATCTCTGCCAGTTTTGGAGATAAAAGGGAAGGAAAATTTGCAAAGTTCAGTTCACGGTGAAAAGTAGGTCAAAGATCAATTTAAAGGTTACACTTAGCTTGCCAGTACATGTATATGACTTCCTATACAAGTTTAATAGTAACTATGGGTGTATCTCTCTCAGTTTTGGAGATATAAAGGAAACCTTGCATGGTGAAAAGTAGGTCAAAGGTCGATTATAAAGTCCTATTCAACTTCAATAGTAACTATAGGCCTATCTCTGCCAGTTTTGGAGATAAGGGACTTTAACATTGCAAAGTTCAGTTCATGGTAAAAAGTAGGTTAAATGTCAATTTTAAGGTCACAGTTGAATTGCCAGTATATTACTTCCTGTTCAAATCTAATAGTAACTATGGATGTATCTTTGCTAATATTGAAAGTATAAGCACTAAAAAAGTTGTAAAGTTCAGTTTATGGTGAAAAGTAGGTCAAAGGTCAATTTGAAGGTCACAGTTATATTGCCAGTGTATAACTTGTTATTCAATTTCAGTAGTAACTATGGATCTATCTCTGCCAGTTTTGGAGATATAAGGGACTAAATGTTACAATTTGTAGTTACAGTAATGTGCCATAAAGAAGAAATTAATTGAAAGAAAGAAAAGGTCAATTTGGTTGAAATTCTTGAAATGGGAGATGCTCAGAAGTTCTAGATGTTCAAATTTCATGAAATAATGTAATTTTTGACCAGAAGTTGTCTGCCGCGCCAATTCTTATGTTATCTTTTCCAGATATTCAAAATTTTATGCACATTACCGTATTGCACATTTTACTTTCACCACCACAATGTACTTTTTGATACAGCATTACTCGAAAACCACAAGGAAAACAAAGAAACAAAGACCACCCTCAGTGTTGGGCTTGACATGCTCTATCAAATGCAAAAAAGAAGTGGTCTCTAGCATTAATGGTTCTAGAATTAGAGAGGGTTTTCTGTTTCGGCATATAATGGCCGCTGCTCCCGTGAAAATGCACCGACTGACCCCAAACTAACGGAGATGAAAGATGACCTGATGGGTAACACCTGCCAATAATATTATAGGTTAGGTCTGTGTAGTTTCTGAATTATAGCGCAAATAATTTTTTTTCGTA